TTCTGGTTTGAGTGTTCGGGCACGTAGGCACACGCGTCCGAGGCCCAAAGCGCGAATTCCGTTTTTCGGAATTCAACGCCAAGCCCCCGTTTTTGCGTTAAACGGGATTTAACGGGGGGTCCAAGGGTCCGTTAAACGGATGAACGGGTGTTGAATTTCGCCCGTTCTCCGTTCAAAAGATACATAGGGCGGCGGTGCTTTTTTGTGGGAATCGACATCTAGGACTGTCTTTTATATTTTTTTTGCTGTTGGTGGTGTCCTTGTAATTTAGTTTAGACCAGCGAAGCGGTGACTTGACAGTTTAAATCGATACCAATTTTTGCAACAACAACAACAAAATAACAATTGCGAAGGATTCTTGAAGCTGGCACGCACGAAAGGTATGTTATCTGGGATTGTTTGTTTGCAGGCAAGGGTGTTTTTGAATCCTGGTTGGTCTTGTCTCGGTGCTTAACCCTGATGGTGGGGGCGGTGCTTGGATGTGGGACTTGTCATCTAGGATTGGTTTATGTTTGTTTCCCCCTGTTTTGTTATTTTTGGCTGTTCCCTTCCTCTTTTCTTTGCTGCTTTGCCTTTTGGCTGTGTGCAATTGGGTCGATACTACACACGGGGGTGGGGGCAGCCGCCGCTCAACCTAAATTCACGTGGGTGGCCTTGTACGTTAGAGGTTCTGAACAGGGGGAGTTCAAGGAAGAAGATAAAAAAATGATTTCATTTTTCTTGTTTTCTTTATGTTTTTTTTCATTTTTTCGCTCTGATATATTGTGACAATATATAAATCGTCAAATAGAACTGCCCGGTACACCGTGGGCAGAGAGGGAGAAGAGCTATGTATCACCCGCAATCATGACCGCGGGCCATTTTACCCCATGCGGTCGGGATCCCGACCGCGGGGGCCGATTGCCTGCGACCGAGTGCGGGCAAGAACCCTCGACATCTTTTTCGGGGCCAAAAAATGGGCAAAAAAAAACAAAAAAAACCATGGGTGTGTAGATAAAAAGAGCCTCTACACACCCTGTCTCTTATACACATCTAGATGTGTATAAGAGACAGTGCTAGAGCCGGCCCACTGCGTTGGGTTCTTACTGAACCCCCGCAGGCGACACGTTCGCTACTTTTCGGGGAAGGTGGAGCGGTACGATGCTTGGCTTGTGGGGCAAGCCAAGAGGTA